GGACATAACAAGAGAGCTCTGTATACAGTAACAGCAATATTTGCTGGGAATCAAAGAGAAATGTTCAGGTGCTGGTGTTTCCCCACGTGTCAGTGGCTCTGGGCATATCATATTTACCAGATCAGAGGGACATTAACCTGGAGTCTGTGAACTTTTTGTTATTTGGACAATTACCTCAATATAATTGACTTCTTTTGGAATCTTATATATTTTATATTATATATTTAAAAACACCTGAGAAGGAGTCTATAGGCTTTACCAAACTGCCTACTGGGCTTATGACAGAGAACTATGGCTTTAAATGAATACATCATAATATTGTTCTTCATGAGGATGCCAAACCTGCCTGCTGGTGGGGCTATAGGTCATGAGTTTAATGAGTCTATCAAGTTTAATGTCCAATGTGGATACTCACAGAACCTATATACCTCAAGGACAGTAACTCTATAATATATGTCCTATTTGTAGGAGTGGGGTGCTATTGCTTCAGTGTCCAGATCCTGCTACTCTAGAATGGACTAATTGTGGAATCATTGGAATGAAGGAAATACTATTGACCTTACAAAGCAAGTTTTACCATGTGACCTCAGCTGATACTACAGAATTCTCAGGCTTTTACATCATTACCTCAGTGTGTGCTATGAGTTTGGGGAAATGAAGCTTCAAGCAGCTTATCCAGACTTTTCATTTCTGTCCCACATAAATAAATAAAAGTGATTTTAGATTTCTTCCTTTGCATCCTGAACCCTGAAAAAAAATATCCTCAGTTAACATCTGGCCTCAGATACTTACTAGCTATTTGACCCTGGGCAAGTCACTTAACCTTATTTGCCTCAGTTTCCTCATCTGTCAAATGAGCTAGAGAAAGAAATGGCAAACCATCCCAGTATCTTTGCCAAGAAAATCCCAAAAAGGGTCACGGAGAGCTGGACATGACTGAACAACTGCAAAGAAAGAAGGAAATTTAGATTTAAATAAAAATGTCCCTGCTAACATGGAGTCAGTTCCAATACGGGCTTTGACAACTATAATACGAAATCATTCCTGAAAACTGAAAAATAAGGTACCTAGTAAGTTGTAGGTTATACCAAAGGTTATCTGAGGTCCCTTCTAAACAAGATGCTCTGGTTCTATTCTGTGCTATCAGAAGGAGAAAGGTGGTTGAGAACTTCAGGAAGATTCCAGAGCAAAGTGTTACTTGAGTAGGGAGAAGGTGCATCATGTAGGAAACAGGAGGAATAAAGATGATATTATCATAGATTTTAGGCTAAAAAGGCATCTCAAAGCTAATCTAGTGCACTAACTTTATACTGAGGGCTTTAAAGAAGGAGGAAAAGAGCTGACTCAGGGGCTGATAATGCCAGGTCACATGACTGCCCATAGTTCACTTCTTCCATTAGAATATATTCAGGGGTGGGGTGGGGAGATGGGGGGCTGAGAGGGAATATTACCAGCATGTCCAGCATTATTCTCAGATGCCTACCTCCAATAACATCATGGTGGTGCAGTGGACAGATTGCCTGATCTAGAGTTCAAATCTAGCTTCAGATACTTACTGACTGTGAGACTCTGGGCTTAAACTCAGTTGACCTCAGTTTCTTCCTATGTAGCATGAGAATAATACCTATCTTCCAGGGTTGTTGTGAGGATCAAATGAGATAATAATCGTAAAGCACTCAGCACAGTGTCTGACACATACTAGGTGCAATATAAATGTCAGCTATTGTTATTATCTCTATCTATGATAAAGCTTTGGACTCACATACTAGCTTCATAACTGGGCTCCTTGCATCCAATCTCTCCTGTCAACTATCCTTCATAAGGTTGCTAGATGAATCTTTTTTCACGCCCAGAATTCATTGCAGGATGTACGTGTGTGTATGGCCATGTTGCCTACTTCAGCACTTGAGTACTTTGGAGGTGAATGCATTGACTGCTTTTGACCAATGACTCAGCACTTGGACACTTTGAGGAGGATGAAGCCAATCCGCTGCTTGGTCACCAAACAGGAGTGGAAAATGTTTCAGTATCCTTTATAAAAGGAATAACTCTTTTCCTACCTCTATCAGTTTTGTTATGTATATGTAGGAAGATTAGTTTATTATTAAGACCCCAGGTGACAGAAATGACTATGTTTGGGCACCATTGTTGCTGCTCATTGTTCATTTTTGAAGAGGATCAATGACATCATGGAGTGGTCTTGACTAGAGCATGAATTGTATTTAAGTGAGGCTGAGCTTTATAGAGTCATCAGCCTCACTCTCTACAGTCATCTGAAGTCCAGTGGCCATGACAAGAGTCAAGACAATAACTGGTAATGGCAGCAGGGATGCAGTGGATGACCTCGGTATTTGGGATGTCTGACCAAGCTCTAAGCACTCCACAGAGCCTGCTTCAACAGCCGCTGGAACAAATTGTTCTCATCCACCTATTCCACCAGGGGGGGTTTTCACATGCTTGGGGAAGACATCCCCCTAACTCACTGATGGGTTTGAGGCCTGTTGGTTACCGTCAACTTAGTTTAGCCTGGTGAGACAGTTTCACTTGGGTGTGGTCTCAGAGAAGGGTGGGGGGAAAGAGACTAGAGATCTCTATTCTGCCTCCCTTCAAGTCATACAACACCACCCCCATGCTACATGTCAGAATCAGCTTCCACAATGTAGTTATCAGTATTTAAATTTTCAGAGAAATAATTTATAATTCTAACTATACTGAAAGTATGTTTGAGAATTCATAAATGACCTAATTGAATTCTCTTTTGAAGATAGGTCTTTCAAGATATTTGAGATATTTATTTCATATTTTGACAATTTAGATAATGTATTTCTTGTAGATACTCAAAAACACTTTTAGATATTTTTTGTGGTAAATAACTGTTCCATCATTTTATTTTATTTTATTTTAAATTTCCTCTCAACATTCTTTGCCATATTGTTTTTATTTGAATGGTTTGACTTTTCTCTATTTTTTTTGTATTAGATTACTACATTATTTGTATCAGTCTACTTTTTAAACTTTGAAAAATGTTCTTTTAGAAATGTTAGTTTGATAGTCTTTATATTATGAGGCTTTAAAGATGTTTCTGCTCTGATTATAAAATTTTCTTCACTACTACTTATGAAACTAGTTTGTTTCTTTCCCAGGTAATTTTTATTTCAATCTAAATTTATTAATTTTTTCTTTTTATAGTATGTTAATGTATGTTTTCAGAGGTGTAAATTTGCATTGCAGTAATGCTGAAACTTCCTCTTATGAATTTTGCTGTATTGTCTCATTATTATGATCAAAATATTTATGGTTCCATTAAGTTATTTTTTGACTCACTCTTTACTTCAGACACTTTGACTTTTTTCTTCAATTAGCTCTGCTTCTTTTCCTTTCCTTGATTAATGCCTATTTTGATTAGGAATCACAGCATAATGGAATGAATTCTGATCTAGTAGTTGGGAACAATTAGGCACAATTTCTGCTTAAGATACACATGCCAATTATGTGGCCTTGGGAAAAATCATTTAACCACAAGTGCCCCCTCCCCCCAGGCAATGTTCTAAGGCTAAAATTTTAGAGAGAGAGAATATAGCTGTCTCTCAGTATGGGTAGAAAAAGCTTATTGCTAGCCTCTGCTCACACTAATAAAAGCTATAAGTAAAAACAAAAATGAAAGGATCAGCAAAGGACTATTTACTATTTCTGGCCCTACATTTTATAAAGTGTTTATAAGCAATGTAAATACACCATGTAATGTCAAAGAATAGCCTATTATTTACCATTCCTATTCACAATTAGTCATAGGTGTCGGAGAGTTAACATAACCAAATCACGTGCAGGATCAGTATAAATGAAAGTACAAAACTCCTTAAGAAGACATAAGTAATTAGAAAAAAAAATCATTGTTTATGGTTGGGACATACCAATGTGATAAAATAACAATATTCTCTAAAGTGGATGTTATATTTAGTGCTTTTCAAAATAAACTACCAAAGAATTCCTTTATAGAACTAAAGTAACAGAGAAGTCAGAGACAGAAAATGTTACTATCTATACAAAATAATCCACGGCAATTATTTTTTTTCTTTTTGGCTAGGCAATGGGGTTAGGTGACTTGCCCAGGGTCACACAGCTAGTAAGTGTCAAATATCTGAGGCCGGATTTCAACTATTTTTATAGAATGGAGAAATATATGACAAAATATGTGCCCATAGATCATAGAGTGGCTGAACAGACTATGGTACATGAATGTAACAGAATATAATTATACCACATAGAACTGAGAGAGGCAGCATGGTATTCTGGGTAGAAGTATGGACTCAAAGACATGAAGGTCTAGGTCAAGTCCCACCCCAGCCATATAGATATTGTCTATTGGTCCTTGGGCAAATCACTTAATCTCTCAGTGCTCTAGGAAACTTTTAAAACTGCAAGTTGTATAGAAGGTGCCAACCTGTCTTGGTAAAGCTGTTTTCTATGTTAAATTCTCCAGAGTTTAAATGTTCTCCCTCTAATGAAACATGCTTTCTGTACCTGTCCCAATCCAATTTCTCAAAATTATATAATGTGACATACAAAACCAAACCTCTCAGAATAGGCCCCCATAAAGCATGGACCAGGAATGCCCTAGACACAAATGAATATTTATTCTCCTAAGGAAATGAATTGGTGGCATTAAAAATAATGGTAAGGGCCAGTGGTAATGGTCACTCCACTTTTTTCCTGAATTCTCAGGTTCACACTCTAGATAGAGCTCTGCTTCTCACTGATTAGAGTCTGGGATTGGCCCTAACACCTGTGTCTTGTGATCCTTGTCCACTAAAGATTCCCTTAAAAAGTGATTCCTTAGTGCTCAAATCCTCCATGATCAAATACCCAATTTTTATTTTCTCTTACCATATGTCTGAATAAGAGGGGGCCACCAACTGGAGCTTCTATCATCTGCTTCCCCCAAATATATGGCTGCCATGATCATCATTCAACTCCTGACGTACTTGAGAGGAGACAAGAAGTCATTTGCCCCAACTTTTAATGAGATTACATAGTGATAGTCACACACTTTTATTGAAAGTCAACAACTTATACAAGTAACAAGTAAAAAGTCAGGAGGACCAGAGTTCAAATTTGTCCTCAGATACTTACTACCTGTGTGACCCTGGACAAGTCACTTAACTCTGCCTCAAAAAAAAAAAAGAAATGTCTAAGAAGAAGCTATTTCAGGCATAAATATTATAAATCCCTGATGGTCATTGGAATTCCACTCTCTTCCCCAATTCCAGGACAAGGAGAAAAGAGTGCTCTAAGAGGCCCAGGGAAGGGGAAGTGAGGGAAATTATATATGAAGCATTTCCTCAAGGCATCATAAAATGAGATGGTCCCTTCCTCACAGTCCAGCAAAATCCCAACCCTGTGGACAGGGACACTGACTTGATGTTTGAAGTAGGGAGGAGTAGTCATGGCAGTGTACAGATCTCCATTCTTAATGTATGAAAGAAGGAAGACATCCTCAGCAGAGGGGACATTGCCATCTCTACTCAATGACTCCTTACATACGCCAACTGTCCATTGCCTAGTGTCTCCCACATCAACCTCCCAATAGTGGATTCCAGATACGAAGATCTGAGCCCCCAAAATGATATTGTCTTTAAATCGGCCAGGTGTGAAAGTTACAGTCTGCTGGTAGCCTCCATGTACAACAGTCTTCAGATCAGCAGACACAATGAGATGTGGACAGGCACTTTCAGGATCCAGGGTCACATCCGCTGAAAAAAGAGAATAAGCGCTTGAGAGATTTAGCTTCTCAAGACCTAAATAGGCAAACAAGCACTAGGTTTTCAGTACCTATGAGCAAATTTTGTAGAAAAAAAATATTTGCAATGTTACAAAGTAATAGTATTGGGGCTCCTTTGGCTGACCTGTAGCTAGTCTGGGGGCTGAGAAAATATCATGGCTTCCCTGGATGCCCACCCACTCAACCTGCATTAAACAAGCCTTTGAAGTTCTTTGAAATTAAGTTCAATAACTTCAGTGCAGATTCTCACCTTTGAAGTATTTAAGCATTTCCCATATCAAAGTGTAATAAAAGAAGATCCCTGGGGTGGTGACAGTTTCTGGACGATGACTCAAGAGTGACTCACACCTGCAGAGAGGACAAGACTCATTTACCCTCAGTGATAGGCAAAAGGCTTCTGGTCTTCCTGCCCTTCCTCCCATCAGACAGACCTCCACCTAATCATTACATTATTCCATAGCTTTTCTGTACATTTCCATTCACAAACCTCCTGCTTTTCTAGTTCTCTTAGAAGAACCCCAAATTAAATCTTACCTGAAAAGTGCATCTCCTACCATCTGGGGAGAAAGAGAAGGACAGAAGGTGAGTGCTGAACTTTGCTATGCCTTATACACTGGCACTTCAGTGGTATGATTCTCCATTGCCCACTAAATCACATATACTGAACACAGTTGTCCCTCAATTCCCATGTACTTCACTGACTTTGGCTCATTGTGTCTTGAGATTTTTATCAAGAGAATTGGCCAGATGTACAAAGTTCAAGGACCTTATACTTACATGCTTAAGTTTGATTTCTAAAACATTTCTCTTAAGTTTTGCCAAAACTTAGGATTCAGATCCCTTCGTTCTGAACCAGAGCACATGCATTATATTTTAATATTTTTTGAGTGACACATCAGCATTATTAGGCACTCCTGTGAAGAGTTTTATGAGACCTCCAGATCTACTAAAGAGTCTATACAGGGTATTTGCCTTTATACTCATGGTCTACAAGACTTTTTCAATTAGGAAATCTGTTTTTGTCTTTTCTGGGTTTTTTTTGAGGGCTTTTTAAAATTTGTCAGCTGTCCTGTTTTTAGACCCATATTTCCAACTCCAACCCCCAAATAATTATCTTTTCCTTATCTACTGTACCCTTGAATCCTGAGGACCAAGTGTGTTAGAATTCTTTCTAAACTAGGAGACCACCATCTTCCTACATTCCAGGATTAAATTCTTTTCCAGGCTTTGGAAATCTTAGGGAGCTGGGTAAGTCAAGTGTTACTAGATTATTAGATAATTTTCAGTTCCTACCTGCAGAAGCTGGACATTGGGTTTCTGGTAATTTTGTTCTATCTCCAAGATTACCTCCTTCAAGCTTTGAAGGTGCTGGGAGAGTCTGACCTCACTTTCTCTTATACTCTTCAGGTAGTAATTTTCCTGCCTGGCCAGCATTTCAAGACGACGTTGCTCTTCTTTCATCAGCAATTCATGGAACCTTCTGTATTCCTCTGCCAGACTCTCCCTTTGAGCTTGGCCCTTTTCCTACAAAGGAAGTAGCTTAGTCTGATAAGGTTCAAAGGTCTCTTAATAAATCACTGTCCAAAAGAAAACATGACCCTTTCTCCACTTAATCAGTAAGACATCATGCATAAATAAGTGTTTATTTATTTGTTCATTTATTAACATTTTATTACTCTTTAATTTGAGAGATCTGTTGATGATAAAAAGATGGCTTCAGAGTCAGGAAGACCTGGCCTACCAGATCCTGCCTCTGATACACAATATCCTGGTGAATCTGTATAAATTTGTTAACTTTTTGGTGGTCTAGGGCAATGGTATTAAAATCAAATAGAAATAGATCCCTTGCTGGCTGCATAGTGATTTAGAAAACCTCAAACTCACATTATCTATGTTGTATTGTATTTTCTTCTTTTGGTTAAATATTTCCCAATTACGTTTTAATTTGGTTCCGGTGAATTCAGGAATTTTGTGGGCTTCTTGCTGCCCAGTTGACCTTGAATTGAACACTTCTGCAGCCAGGCAACTCTCTAAGACCATAAGTTCAGAGAAGTTGCAGACAGACCTGTGTTGGCAGAGGAATTTCTTCATTCACTAATTCCCAACAAAACCACAAGGCCTAGTGCTTCTCCTGAATAACCTTTTCTGTAGTTTAAAGCTTTTAGGAGGTAACATTGCCATGAATATCTGCTCCCAGAAAGAAGGCTACAAACTTTCCCTTGGGATTGTGCTAAAGTCCTTGGAGCTGTAGACTGTCCTAAAGATTCTGACTCCAATCCAAAGGGACTCAAGACACTTACCTTGCAACTTTTCTCTTTCTCCCTCTCTTCAATCAGCATCTTCTCAATTGTCTCCATTTCTTTCCAGCAAAGATCCGAAATCTTTTGGAGCTTGTCCTAAGGAAACACCACCATTAATTCATATATTATGCTCTTCCCTGCGCTAGATCAGCAAAATCCCACCATATAAGTTCATAGAGGCCAGAGATAGTAAGAGAGCCTATTGCTGTGTGTGGCCTTGGAGCTAAAAGGTCCTGCTACAGGAGATCCATCTATATATTTGACACAAGTTATTGGTTCAAAAGAATCAATGGGAATGAGGGAATGCAATCCCTTCTGAATTGCTTCTCCATAGAAATACTTGCCCTAGAATCCTCTGCAGCCTTTTCTATAGGGCGTACTGTGTGCCTGCTGTGCTCTGGGGTTTGAAAGCAAAATGCGCAAAGGAGTGCTTGGTCTTCCTCACAGAACAGATTTTGCTCTGCCCTGTGTCTGTTACATTCAGTGTTTTCCTCTTTAATCTTCAGCAATAAGGGTTTGACATTCCTGGCTATGCTGGCCAACTTTTCTAGACAGCGATTGCGCTCCAAGTCTCTCAAAGGGAAGGTTCTTTTGCACTCAGGACAAGGAGAGGGTTGGTCAGCTTCTCCACTGTTCTTGAGGAGGCATAGGTGACAAAAGGTGTGGCCACAGCCTAAGGTCACTGGATGACTGAAGTAGTCCATGCACACAGGGCAGGTGAGCTCTTCCTTGAGGTTTTCAGCTAAATGAGCTGCAGCCATGTTCTCGAGCAGAAACGAAGACTAATTCTGCTTCTCAGCCTTCTCTGCTTACTCTTATTTATCTCCCAGGGTCCTCTGGCTACTTTCAGCTCCTCACCTTCTCTGAAAGAGAAGCAGCATTTTACTCAGGATGAAGAAAAGAAAAGGCAATGGTGAATTTGTGAATAGACTAGGCCATCACGAATTAAAAACCAAACCTTCAAGCATCTGTGGTTGAAGATGTTAAGATTTCTTCCCCGAACCCACCAATAGCCGGAATCAGCCCTTGCAGTGAACGTGGACCCCCTCTCCTCCCTCACGGATTAAGTTGTCTCCTCTGCTTCTACCCCTCCCCTTAAACCACAAAGTCTAATCCATGCCCAGGTTCTCCTGGAGATAATAATCAGAGATTAAAAAAGAGGCATCTGCCCAGACATCCTCTGAAATTCCCAAAACTCCAACTCTCCTAACAATTCCAAAATTTTTTTCTAAATATTAAGAGTGAAACTACTGTGTTGAACAAGCATTTGATGATCATTTAGTAACACTTTTACATTAGTCTTTGTCCAATTTTGTGACTTGAGTTTTAAATTTCAAGTTATCCTGGTCCCTTACCTAGTCTATGGCCTTATTCTTCAGGCACAAAGATTGACAATCAACAGCCTCTCAGACAACTGCTCTGGAGGAGGCCAGAGAGAGCATGTTAGTCAACTTCTTCAATTTACATTTAGGACTTGGAGGTCCAGCAAATTTTAACTCTTTCAAAAGCCCGATTTCAAGGCAAGCCATCAGCCATCAGATTAGTGGGAAAAAAACTAAGTGATGTTTTGTAACCAAATCTGGGGCTAGGAAAAAACATATCTTTGCTATAATCTGAATAAAGTGGCTCTGTCCTTAGGTAAACCTGAAACCCTCCAGGGATACTCTCTGCTCTAATATCTTCTCTTTTCTCTGACTGAGCTCCATCTGGAGTAGGCAACCTTCATGGCTTTTCTTGGATAGGATTTACTGCTTGAACATAAGAAAAAAATATCCCAAAGCAGGAAATTTACCTTTACTTCCACAGATCTGGGTTTCCTTCAGGGTCTGCAACTATAGAGCTGATCTTCTAAGAGTCAGGCTCTGACCTGACCCTTTTATACCCCCCTGGAACCCTAGGCTCCACCTCTCTGGATCACACCTAAAATGTGTGACCTTCTTAACACCTTTGTTGATCTGAGTTCTGCTTTAGATGGAGTTGCCAGTGCTGAGTTCACACTTAAGCTGGAATTTCCATGCCAGAGATTCACAGGGTACTGAGTTCAACCCAACAAACACTTCTTAAATTCATACTAGTGCAAGGTACTATTCTAAGCAGCATAGAGGATATAAGGCTGAGAGCTTTAATGGCCCTAATAGAGAGATTTATACAGCAAAACCATTATAGAGAAAAGGAATTTTGAATGACTTTAGAATGCTAATCAAAGCAATGATAAATCACTACTCCAAAATAATGAAAATGAAACATACACTCACCTATTAACAGAGGGGATGAAGTTGAAATGCAGAAAGATACATATACTTTTGGACATAGCTAATGTGGGAATTTATTTTGTGGTACAATATAGATATATATTAAAATATTTATTTTGTATGTTTTTAAAAAATCATTACTCTTTGCTCTGAGGAGAGGGTAGAGGAGTGGGAGAAGCAAGTTAATTTTACAAATGCTTTTTAATTGTAAAAATAAAAATGATAAACTGTTCTGGAGTCAGGAGGACTTGAGTTCAAATCCAATCTCAGACCAGACACTTGACACTTACTAGCTATGTGACCCTGGGCAAGTCACTTAACCCCAATTGCCTTATGAAAAAAAATAAACTATTTAAATACTGCTTTTAAGGGGAAATCTTGATTTTTTTTAACTATAAGAATGATATTTGAAGGAGGAGGTATCTATACTGATAGTACCAGGTAGCTTTTTGTATATTAGAATATAAGCAATGGTATCAAGGGAGAAAGACACAGCAAATCAAAGAGAAATGAGAAAAATCATTAAGTCCTAGAATCTCCTAGCTGGAAGGCACCTGACAGGTCATGGAGGTCAATGACTGAATAACAAGCCATTTCATTTGCAGACATTACAAAATTAAAAAGTGTAATGGCTAGAAAGAAACTTTTTGGTTTATTTAGTTGTGGCTGTCTCTTTGTGATTCCATTTGAGATTTTCTTGGCAGAGGTATTGGAATGGTTTGCCATTTCCTTTTCCAGCTCATTTTATAGATGAGAAACTGAGGCAAACGGTCTAAGTAACTTGCCCAGGGTCACACAGCTAATAAGTATCTGAGTCTGGACTTGAACTCAGGAAAGCGAGTCTTCCTAACTCCAGGCCAAGCACTCTATCCACTGCACCACGTAGTTGCCCCAGAGACCATGTAGTACCACACATGTCTGAATAAGAAAGCTCCCTTCAAGAAAGCCAAGAGACTATTTACCTTCTGCATGAAGATGCTCACAGTAAGGCAGAATCCACCATGTCCTCCATCTGCCCTCTCACTCACCTCCAGCCTATTTTATTATGGAATAATTGCCATTTTGGTTATTGTATCTTAGAACTCAGATTTGGTGGTGGCACTTCCTCTGAACTCATTCCCCTTCTGTTAAAAAAAAGTATAGAATCAAAGGAGGTAATAAGGAAATCACCACAATATTGAACGTTTTGGAACAGAAAGGAATAATTAAGAAAACAATGCATACTGTTCTCTTTTTTGGCATGTAAAAAGGCTAGTGACAAGTAGAGACTTATGGTTGACTATATAAAACTTAATGCTCAGGCTCAACCTATTAACAAATCCCTCTCAAATATTTAAGAAACTATTGATGAAATTAAATGACATGATGGACCTTGATTTTCAGTTATTGATTTAAGTATTATGTTCTTTGTGATACCAGTGGCTGGAGAAAGCCAGGTACAATTTTTTTTTATCACATGACAGGGAGCACAGCATATATTTTTGTAGCTTGCCAAAAATGTATTTTAATAGCCTATTTTATTGTTGTTTCAATCATGTCTGACTTTTTGTGACCCCATTTGGGATTTTTTTGTTTTTGGAAGACTTTAAAAAAAATTTTTAATTAATTTATTTTGAATTATCAATAATCACTTCCATAAGCTTTAGAGTTTTAAATTTTTCTCCCTCCTCCTTCCCCACCTCCCTCCCCAAGACAGTGCGAAATCTGACATAGGTTATACATATACATTCCTATTAAACAAATTTTCACATTAGTGATGTTCAAAGGAAGAATTAGAACCAATAGGAGGAACCACCAGAAAGAGGAAATAAAATACAACAGAAGAAAAAATATAGCAAACAGTATGCTTCAATCTGCATTCTAAGGAGATGAGGCCTTTGGAGATGTTTTAGAACTTTGTATTGCTGAGAAGGGTTAAGTCTATCAATATTAGTCATCACATGATATGGCTGTTACTGTGTACAACGTTCTCCTGGTTCCGCTCATTTCACTCAGCATCAGACCATACAAGTCTTTCCAGGTTTTTCTGAAGTCTGCCTGCTCATCTTTTCTTATAGCACAATAGTATTCCATTACATTCATATGCCACAACTTGTTCAGCCATTCCCCAACTGATGAGCATCCTCTCAATTTCCAATTCTTGGTCACCGCAAAAAGAGCTGCTAGAAATATTTTTGTACATGTGGGTCCTTTTCCCATTTGTATTATCTCTTTGGCCATTTGGGATTTTTTTTTTTGGCAATTGGGGTTAAGTGACTTGCCCAGGGTCACACAGCTAGTAAGTATAAAGTGTTTGGTTTGAGTCTGCATTTGAACATTTAGGATTTTCTTTGCAAAGTTGCTGGACTAGTCTGCCTTTCCTTCTGTAGTTCATTTTACAGATGAGAAAACCGAGGCAAACAAGGTTAAGTGAATCGCCCAGGGTCACGCAGCTAGTTAAGTGTCTGAGGCCAGATTTGAACAGGCCTGATATTCCATGCACTGTACCACCTAGCTGCTATACCTTAATTTGTGTAGATCAGACAAAATTGACACATTATATAACTGGTATGTTAGTCAGGGGATATATGATAAGCAGGAGAGAGAAAGTTACAAACATGGTTATTGAAGGATTAGCTGATAGAAGGATGAGAACTGCCCTACAAAAAGTTCAGAGAGGACAAATCACCAGTCCAATGTCTAGGGATGATGTGAACATTGGAAGAAGTGTCAATCCCTCAACCAGTTGTAGAAAAAAGATCTTAGCCTTAAAACATCCAAAAGACAAGAAGGAAGCTCAGAAACTAGTTGAATTGTTTAGTTTCTGCAGAAATACATTCTACAGTTAGGTATAATGCAAGAATGTATGAAGTTACAAGGGAATTTAAAAATTTCAAATGGGTACCAAAAGAATATCATGTTTTAGAACAAGTGAAGGAGGTAGAACATCATTCCATGACCCTTGTCACAATTTCTTCAGAACCCTCTTTTAGACTAGATCGCAGCTACAAAGGAAATTTTATGACTTGGCCTTTGTGGACCAAGTCAAAAAGGAATGATGAGAAAGGTTACATGCCAGTAGGATTTTGGACTAAGGTCCATTGATTAGATAATACTGATGCCCATACTAGCAAGGGCCATAACCTTCTTTCCCCTCCAAAAGCATGTTGGAACTGTCACCACTCAGTCAACGTTGAAATGGAAATGGCTTATAACTGACAGAGCCAGTAAGAGGTATCAGCCCATACTGTTAACATGCTAAGCTACCAGAGAGGGATGTTATTTGAGGAGGCAAACCTCTTGCAGTGTGATCTCCAACCTGGTAAGGATAAAAGCAGTGCATGGTTCATAATGGAACTGCTATTCTTACTCCACAAAGTGTATAGTGGTGAGAGCCCACTCTCAACTCATCTACTGGTGACTGAAGAAGGGGATGGAAAGTCAGCCCAATGTGTTCAATTAAGGGCAGTGTGGTTAGTTGTCACCAAGACTGGTACGGAACAGCTTGATATTGTAGTGCTATATCCTGA